CCGGAACAATCAGTTTAAAGACAAGCTAAGTCATACTAATAAAATCCAGAACACTAAGATTTAAATACATGTGGAAAAAAGCCAGAAACTTCTGCTCCCCAACAAATACAGGTTTTAGTTAACCAATCTGTTTATTTTAAAACTGATGTAATTTTAACTCTGATAAATATAAAAGAAGGCTATATTAAATTTTTTTCTGGATTAAAAAAACAAACGTGTTAAGGAAAAAATGTATGCACATATGAACTTAACAGCAACTTGAGCATTAATTTAACAGCTCCACAATGTTCACTTTTCTCAGACATATAAAATTTTCAAAATCAACCATGCTCAGAACCATTTCATGGGTACTCGGTATATGCTACTTCATAGATGCATACTCATGACTTTCTAAATCATGGAGATTAATTAGTAAACAGTTTAAACTATTAGGTAGAGAAAAGTAAACATAACCTCATAGCCAAGGAGAACATGCTCCCAGGTCTAGAACATTTCACAGTGCTCAAAAAAAATCAAATGTGGCACGCAGACCCTCATTCTAATTCATATCCTCATTTCATGACTCCAGGGCAGTTCTACCAGTAAATAACTGGGGCAAGTTCCCCCTTGTGTTAAATAAGGGAACCAAAACTGATGACTTGAAAGCCCTCCAAGTATGATTCTAAGTGAAAATATGACTGAGGACCAAAAGCTGCCAATCTTTCAAAAGTAGAATGAATCTTCACTGACTCCTTTTCTGTAAGAAGAGGAAAAGAGGGAGTAAAAAAGGACTTCAGCTCCCAGGTCAATTCTTGAAACACAGGGGTGAGGGAGGAGCAGCTAATACCTCAACTAAGTAATTATTCAGTGTCTCAGCAAGACTCCAAGGCAAGGAGACAATGAGTCAATCTATCTTCCCAGGAGATTCTGAACTTAAAATCTCAGCTCTTTCTAATACATTAAAAGAGAAAGTACTTCAGGCAAGAAAAGAGATACGAATAGAGGAGGTATAAGGGCACCAAAGGAAACTACTTAGCAATTTTGTCTTTAGTCCTCCAAGTCAAGTATACTCTTCTATACTATAAACTCTCATTTAATGAGTGCTTACAATATGCCAGGTACCGTGCTTTAGGCGTAGATGAGTTATCTCCTTCAAATGTTCACACCAACCTGTCATTACCACCATTTTACAGATGAGAGCATAAGAAAGTTAAGGCCACATAAACAAGTATAAAGCTTGAGCACAAATCCTTGATCTGCCTACTCCTCTTGCTGTCTCCCTTTTTTGGCTTTCATGTTACAAACTGGTAAACCTCATAGGAGACTTTTTTTTTCCCAAAAACAATTTTCTCTAACTTAGCAGAATATACCATTTAAAATGAAAACAAAAACAAAAACCAGTAGGCAAAGGTCTATTCTGAGTTTAACCTCTCAACTACCTCACTGTCCAAAGGAGCACGACTGACCAGAACAGTTGCCTTGGAGCCATAATTAGTGTGAAAAAAAGTCCTGAGTAAAGTAAGTAAAATAATAGTAAACTGAAATAAGTAAATGAAATAATAAAAATAACTTAGAAAAAGAAAACAATTTTAAGAATTATGTTAAAAGATGGCATGTTTAACATATCCCAAGCCTGAGTCAGCACTCCCAGGCAGCTAATAACAACATACAAAGAGCCAAGGACAAGGACTCTCCAGACCCTTGGCCCCTTACAGCTGTCCCAATGTACAACTCGAGGGCTCAGAGGGAGCAGCCCCGCCCCACAGTGTACAAGGCAGCCATTCTCTCCCCCTTTTTCTCCCTTCAACCTCCTTCTTTGCCCTTTGTCTCTTTTTTCCTCTACCTGCCTTTATTCCACTCCCTTTACAATGGCTTAAGGGCTACTTGTGGCTACATAACTGACAAAACAGAGAATTCATACAAAATATTCCCATTTTATCTGAATGATTTTACTTCTATTTTTTTGCTTTCCTTGTTTATCACTTAAGCACTCTTTTATTTTATCAACTCATTTCTCATAGTCACCCTTCCGCTTAACATTTATATAACACTATCCCATTTTCTTAAATATTCTTCAAATGGCAAACTTTTCATTAATCAAAAAGGAATATGGTAAAGCAAGAAAGGGAGCTCTGGTGGCACAGTGGTTAAGAGCTTGGCTGCTCACCAAAAGGTCGGCAGTTCAAATCCACCAGCTGCTCCTTGGAAACTCTATGGGGCAGTTCTACTCTGCTCTATAGGGTTGCTATGAGTTGGAATCGACTTAACAACAACAGGTTTTGTTTTGTTTTTTTTTTAAAGCAAGAAAGATATGAAACCTACTGCTTTCCTTAATCTGTTTCTCCCTGAATATGTTCAACATTTCAAGTGAAGGATGATACTTTTAAAAATCAATACAGAATGTTTGTTATTTAAAAAATTTTTAATCCAAATTTCATATACTTATATTCCACACTAGTTGTAGTATAACCAAATGGCCACCTGCAAAACAGTCCAACAATTCTTTTATTGAGACAAAATGAGATGCCTAGCATCACATTCCTTTTATCATCACCCGGGTCAAACATGGGAAAGACCACATGGAGGCTGAACTTTCTCCAGTTACCTAAGTAACACCACAAACCTTAACAGTCTGATGCCCCAAAATATTTTGGGACATTTACTATTTTTCTTCACTTGAAGAAACAGTTCAAGTAATTATAGTTAATGTTGATAACTTCTAGCATAAAAGAATGAAAGACAAAAAAACTATGTTCTGACACATCTGAGTTTTGTATCCAGAGATTTTACTGTCCAGTTCATACGATTATAAGAAAGGTTACTTTGCACTGATACCAAAACAAAACAGAAAAAGAATGTAAGTAGCTAACTGACAGGGGGAGTTAGCTAAGACTACTGTCCAGCTTTCCTTCTCCCTAAAGTGGTTCCTCATTTACTAAGAGCTAATTTTAAATTCTGACCTACAATAGACTTTAGAAACAAATAAGCTAATTTTATTACAACCCTAACCAGTAAGACAGGCAACTACCTATCGGCTGTTGTACCCAAAATATTTTTTATTTCTTATTCTGTTGCAGCAGAATTAAATCTTTGAGATGTGTCATTTTATTAGGAAAAAAAGAGGTTACACACTCCAGGTAAATCAGGATTTGAACCCTTTCTATCAGACTCTAGGCTATATGTGCTTAACCATTGAATTAAACCACCCCGGAGGGTTGCTGGATTAAATGATTTAATGTATGCAATGTACATTACACACAGTGGGAATATTCTCGTTCCTATGATGGGCCCTAGGAATGAATAACATAGCCTCTGTCCTCAAACAACTCAACTAGTGCTTTAACATTTTTAGCAAAAGTAATCTCCTTATAGTCAATCATCCAGTTTGTGAGCCATTCATAACATGAATGGCCCAGTTCAACATGTCTGGCCCATAGTACGTCCCCCCAGAATATCTGTCCACTGTCAGTGCTACAGTCATCCTCACTTGTGCTTCCACTTCCTCTCTGATACCTACTGCTCGCATTTCTGACTTGATGACCAACCTGGAACCACAGCAGTGATGCTCCAGAAGACATGGCACGACCCTCTGAGACCCCGCCCCCCCAGCCACCTGCCAGAAGCCCGGGCTACAAGGGCTGCTGTGCCAGCAGTCCCACAGGGACACCTCTTCATCAAAAACCTTGCTTCCCTTGGAGCTACCTCAGAGATGAGAAAATCCTCTTAGAGCTTCAACTCCAAAATTCCATACCCCAGCCCATCTCCTACCCTACCCTGTGGATAAGAGTCCCTCTCACACTGTGTGCATGGTAACTGCAAAACAAGGGAGAAGCTTGGAAAGGGGCAAGTGAACTGTTGGCATCTTTCAGCAGAATTCAAAATATACTTTCTCATAAAAACATCATAAAGCAGAGGGTTCTCAACCTTTTGCATCTTCAAATGGGAGAGCTAGGATTCAGCTTCTGACAGAAACTCCCTACAGAAGTGATTCTCAGCTGGAGAGTGGGTGATGTGCCCTCCCTAAAGGATTTAATGGAATTTGGGAAAAAAGGGTTTTTGTCAATGGATGAGAAAGGGGGAACTGAAAAGCCTCTCAGGTGAATTCTGATATGCCCTCTGAAATAAGAATTACTTTTATGAAAAGTGATTAGCGGTGTTATATTATTGGTACCATCCCTCAGCTACATTATGGTTGAAATAGGATTTGCTTAAGAATATAACCACGTTTAAAATAACGTTTTTATGTGAGAAAATTTTTCCCAGTTTAAACAACAGACTTAACACATTACCTGTTTCCAAGTTTGGAACTGTCCATAAAGGAAACAAAAAAAGTGACTAATATTTACTTGTGAAGTCCTAAGGGTTATTCACCTGAGATTTATGGAAGGGCTTCAGTGGGGTCCAATAACTCCATGATATTGCAGGCAAATGTTGTGTACATTTCTGGAGAGCTTATATTATATTCTCAAAAGGACCCACAGAACACAAATAAATATTAATGTAAGAACTAGAATTATTAATTGCTTCACAGACGGGGAAATGAAGACGTAAGTTATCGTTGGTCATACTAAGTACAATAAGTGAAATGAGTCTAGACTTCTGTGTCTATAATCCATTTTTATTCTCATTTAACCCTCTGCCATCCACATAAATCTGATGCTAGAACTTGGTTTGAATTTTGAGAGAGAAAAGAAAATCTTACTGAGCAATGTTGCTTTTCCATGCCCTAACATGTAAATATTTATGATTTCTTAAACTGCTGAAATTTTTTAGAGTCCAATAATGATAGGTTTTACTAATGTCACAGAATACACTGTAATCGCCAAGTGCTTATCTTCCCATCTCCGTCTTTACCCACCAAATAATTATAGATGCCTTAACTGCATGTGAAAGAAATGCTCTAGAATTTAAACTTTAAAGTGATATTCAAAAGCTGTGCTTTAGAGCTATACAATCAATTGCTGCTCAATAAATTTAAGTATGCAAAAGAATTCCAAGATGTGAAAGAAATGTAAACTGACCTTCATGAGATGTTGATTTATCCATTTTGTAAACGTTTTCTTTTGAACTTTGTCCCGTTCATCTGAAAAAAAGAGAAAAAAAAAGATAGAAAATAAGGTTGATAAAACCTATGAGTAGAATACTTTGTGACTATGCATATCAACAATAATAAGGTATTCAAAAGATACTGCTTAGTACATCTGAATTTTCTTCTTAAATTCTGGCAGCTTTAGGTTATCCATAAGTAAGTACTAAAGGTGTGTCTGTCAGATTGGTTGTATTTGCCAACATTATTCCATTAAATAAATGCGCTCTGCCATTCTGTCACATAACCACCCCCACCCCCACCACCCAGCCGCAAAACGTCTAGTCTAACGTGGCTAGCTTCAGGTGAGTCCTTGCACTGGAACTACCCAAAGCACATTAACACACATTACACCACGCGTGCACTTCACAACCACAAGTAGTATCACTCCCATTTTACAGAAGAGGAAACTTGCCCACGATTATCCAGCAAATAGCTTACAGTTTTGATAAAAGGCAGAACTTAAATTCAAGCCTTTTGGGTTGAAATCGAGCTCTGATTCAATTACTAACCATGCTGCTTCTCTGTAAGAAAGAAACACCCCAACTAGACCCTTGCTATAGAGTGTAATACTACCCTGATTACTATAGACATGGCACAGAGAAGGGTAAGGGAAAGCTCCCTCATAGTTTGAGAAAGAGTAATTGGATTGTTCTAGTTCAACAACTTACTATTTCAAAGGAGAAACAATCTTCCAGCACTTAGAGCTAACATTCAAAACCATAATTATCTCCTTCCTCCCCGCTTCTAAGCAGCAATTCCCTACTTTCTTGTTTCCTTCTTCCCTCCTTTCTGAATCTGGGGATACATCTTTCTCCTTTCCTGGTGATCTTCTTCCCTTTCCCACCACAATCTAGACTCTCCAACCTTTCTCTGGGGATAAGAAATACCTCGCTTTTTTCCTTCATCTTGTTCCTCCTCATTCTTCCTCCCTGTCCCCTCTTAAACTACTGTAATGGAACTAGGTTTCTTTGAAAACGCTTGTCCTACTTATTCAAAGTATTCACGCACTCTACAAAAGTACTTATGCCTTCTACAATAATGTAAACATAAACAAAAATACAAAGACAAATCAACTGGGAGAAAAACATGTAACATATGAGACAGAGGGTTCATAATAGTAATAAAAAAGAACTTAGGGGGAAAAAAGGTGAACACCTTAATAGATAAGTGGACAAAAGCAGATAGTTAATCCTTAAAAAAAATTATTGCCCACAGGTGCTCAATCTCACTAGCAAATAAAAATACAAAATAACACAGATAAAGCATTTTAACCTAAAAGAATGCCAAGATTTTGTGAAAAAAATAATACATTGACAAGAACACAGGGGAACAGATACCCTTCCATATTTTTAGTGGAAAGGTAATTTGGTTTAAATCCTTTGGAACTATGTTGTTCGATACAGCAGCAAGTAGTCACATATGGCTACTTAAGTTTAAACCAAATTAATGAAAATTAACAAAATTAATGATTCATTTCCTTGGGTGTACTAGTCACATTTCAAGCACTCAACAGTCACATGTGGCTTAGTGGCTAACAAACTGGACCGCGCTGATATAGGTCATCCATATCATCACAGAAATTTCTGTTGGACAGCACTGCTCTAGAACAAAACTGTATTGGGCAGCGCTGCTCTAGAACAAAGCTGTATTGGACAGCACTGCTCTAGAACAAAGTTGTATTGAACAGCACTGCTCTACAACAAAGTTGCATTGGACGGCGCTGCTCTTGAACAGTTTGCCTTTAAATACCATCAAAAGTCTTAAAAATGTATACACCCTTTCCAGCAATTTTATTTCTAGAATTTATCCTAAAGTTATAATTGTGGTTTTGCACAAAATGTATCTATAAGAATATAAAGCCGAATGCTTACAACAGCAAAATAAAAACTTGAACAAAGCCTAAATGCCAAACAATAAATGGTTAAAGAAATTTTAATAAAGCAATTCAACTGTAATTCATATTCAATTCTTTGCAAAGCTATTCAATGATAACATATGACTTAGAACTCTCCTACAGAGTAATCCCAACCTGAAGGGATAGGGAGAACGATATAATCTAGTTTGTATTTCCCAACTATTTCTTTCTCAAGTACTTCCTTGAAACCCTTTCCATTTCCTATCATGATCTGCCAGAGAGAAACAAAAAGGTACCTAAATACAGCCTATCATTTGGTTCTGCCCGTAACAATAACTGTTTAGTGCCCCAAACTTATAGTCTTCTTCTTGACTTAACATCGGATATTAAAAAATTGGAAGAGGGGTTGCAGAAAGCAGACCCAGAAGGTAGAAGCTTGCTAGATTTGAGTACAATGCTCAGAATTTATGCTAAAATGAGCAAAAATTTGCCTAATTCCAAATGTAAAATCCCCCAGTACTTTGCTTATAACAAACCTGCCAAGAACTACAATACTAATAATTATTAATCAACATTATCATCCACAAAATATTTATTAATCCTCTTAGACTAGTGCGTTGGTCCTTTGGTCCTTTAGGGGCACCATCTATACGTCACTCATCTTTGTCCACCCCATCCACACTGGATGCCACAATACTTTTACGCACACAATAAATAAATGCCCATGATGTGAATTAATTATGTGTCAAAAAGGACCCAACTCAGAAAACCAACATTCATCTACTTACATTCAGTAATATATAACTATCTCTCTTAAAGCAATAATGGTGTCTAAATTTCTTCAGAATTGTTACTCCTAAAGAGTGCAGAATGAACTTAAACTACTAATTAATACATAAGATAAGAACAAAGAAAAAGAAGCAAAATACTAGTCCTCCTCACTGATAAAACACAGATTCTATACTTCTCTCACTTACTCACTCCAGGATCTACTGGGCTCCTACGATGAGCCCAGTACCATGGTAGGGCTGGGAACCAGGATAAATAGAAAGAACACTGGTCCTTGCCCTCATCATCTACAGAGAGCACCTGACATGCAGGCAGTGTGATAAGCACTCCAACTAAGAAAAGTCTGTGGTACTCATCATGTAAGTAAACGTGAAGGAGAGAAGAACCTGGCCCTGGGAAGTAGGGTAGCAAGACAGGAGCTAGACATGCAGAGTCCTCACCAAAAATAAACCCTGATTTAATAATTTAACATTGAAATATCCATGGTTAGAATCCAAGAACTGTGAGCACCTCCAGACGTGCCTCCACTTCCCCAAGAGACTATCATCCTTCAAATGGAAGCACTGAAAACATTTCAACTACACGCAGGGTGCTGGGAAACTTGGCTCTGCTGTATGCTGTGAACTTTGGACAAGTCAAGGCAAACAATGGAACCTCTCCCCCAAAGTGTAACATCCACATCACATTTTCAGCGGCGCTTTTTGAAACCTCCAGCAAAAACAAAACACAGTGAGAAAAATAAAGACTACTTCCTAGATACCAAATATTATTCGCATCCGATTAACAACCTAAGACCCTGACGTTAAATCTTCAAAAAAAATTAAGATGTATTATTAATTAAAACTTTATAGTTCAAGAATTGACAACTTCTATATCAAGTTTCAAAATATAAGACTGTGGTACACCTCCAAACTTTATATTAATTAATATAAACTCTTACAAATTTTTAAATTCCCTTAAATTAATATATTATGTGTATTATATAAATTCTTCTCTTGGTACATAAAAGTTGACAAAATAGATTTACTTATTATCTTCTAAATTAATAAATCTGGTCCTAAGAGTCTGGCTGCTAACCAAAACATCAGCAGTTCAAACCCACCAGCCACTCCTTGGAAACCATATGGGGCAGTTCTACTCTATCCTATGGGATTGCTATGAGTCCGAATCGACTCAATGGCAACGAGTTTATATATATATATTTTTTCATTGTACTTTAGGTGAAGATTTACCGAACAAATATTTTCTCATTAAACAGTCAGTACACATATTGTTTTATGACATTGGTTAATAACCACATGACATGTCAACACGCTCCCTTCTCGGCCTTGGAGGACCTTTTTTTCTTTTGGTGAAAATATACATAGCCAAAGATACACCACTTCAAAAATTTCTACATGTACAATTCAGTGACGTAGATCACGTTCTTCCAGTTGTGCTGGTATTCTGACTTTAGATGAAGGTTTACAGAATAAAATAGTTTCTCATTAAACAGTTAGTATACATATTTCCCTATGATAATGGTTAAGAACCCCACTACATGTCCACACTGTCCTTACTCAACCTTAGGTTCCGTATCACCAGCTTTTCTGTCCCCTTCTGCCTTTTAGTCCTTGTCCCTGGACTGCTGCGCCTCATTAGTCTCATTTTGTTTTATGGGGCTGTCCAATCCCCGGCTCAATGGTGAACCTTGGGAGTGACTTCACCACTGAGCTAAAAGGGTGTCTGGGGGCCATATTCTTGGGGTTTCTCCAGTCTCTGTCAGGCCAGTCAATCTGGTCTTTTTATAATTTTTTTATTTTTTATTTCTCATTGTACTTCAGGTGAAGGCTTACAGAACAAATAGTTTCTCATGAAACAGTAATACACATATTGTTTTATGACACTGATTAACAACCCCACGACATGTCAACCCTCTAACTTCTCGACCTTTTTTTTTTTTGGTGAAAATATACATAGCCAAAGATACACCATTTCAAAAATTTCTACATGCACAGTTCAGTGACATT